TGCTGACCTGAGTGGCACCTGTCAGAACTCTGAGCTGCAGATTCCCACCTAGACACGCCTCTTGGGAAGGGGATTCTCTCTCCATCATGCAAAGCTGTTCCTCTGGGTCCAGCTAGGACATAATGTCTACTTTAAAGAGTTGATTTCCTAGAATGAGGGAAACCATAAGGGCCTGGACAAACATGCAGGGGACAAAGCTACCCCAAGTTAGTATTAGCCACATAAGATTTTGGGAGTCTCTCAAAGACAAGTAGGATAAGGCTTCAGAAGCAACCCAGTGAAACTACCCCTTTACAACCTTAAATATAAAAATCTTTCACCTATGTGGGAAAAACAATGTCTCTTTCTCTATTTGTTAGGGTTTCAGGCACACTGGTCCTTGTATTTTAGACCAACCATTATGAGGTTAATGGGCACTTTAAACACCGGAGAGACAGCCTCTGACATCTGAGGAGATTAAGTCCCCACCACAAGCGGCTGTGTGAGATATGGAACGTCGCCCTTACCTGCCAAGAGAAGGTGTTTAGTTCTTCAGCATCATGTATCTGTAGATGCTTCTCTGAGAGGGGTCCAGGGGCCACATCCACGGTCGTGTCCTTGAAGCCTCCAGTCCCTAAAATTTAAAGCACATTCCTCGGCCATCCATCATCAACACCTGTGTCTATAGGATGGAGTGCATGCAGCACTGAGAACAGAGGAGGGACCGGAAACAAAATGATGCATGGTTTGGAGAGTCCAAAGTCAAAACTTACTGCGTCTTCCTTCCCTCCATGCTGCCAATTCCCATCACTGATTTTTTTTTTTTAAACTGGGGACCACCACCTCCCCTCCTGTCAGAAGATGCAGTGAGATTGTTGGAGTGAGCCTTGGACCATGTCACGCCCAAGCCCAGTTTGTAGCCAGATTTCCAATTCCATGAGCTAACACATCCCCTTTTGCAGCTAAAGTCAGCTTGTGCTGGGTTTTTATTTGTAAACAAATATAGGTTCTAGGTGACCCCAAAATTCCCCATAGAGTTGGAACTCTAAACTGTGCAATGGGCTTGAGTTTGGGGTTAGCAGCAACACCTCCATCGCAGGCTGGAGAACAGGACAGCCTTGTTGAGCAGCAGCAAATGCTCAGTTGTCATTTGCTGTTCTGGTACTCGGATGCTATTGAATCAATGGTCCTTCAGATGCGGCTGCAATGAACACGAACACCGTGGATATTTAATGCGGCGTCCTTGTGCATTTCCATAAGGTAATGTCTAGGAGTCTATTTGCTCACTCATAGGACATGCACATATTGTGACTGAGTGCTATTGAACTTCTCCATATACCCTCGATCAGTTCAGCCTTAACAGTGTTTAGCAGTGCCTGTCCCCAACTCTCTATCAAGCCCGGGTACTACCACTTTTCTTAATATTGTCCAAATTGTTGGACCTTTACAACCCCCTCATGTGCAATTAACTGATTCCTCTGCAACCCCAGAGACCCTTTCTGCAGCACTCATCAACCATATCATAGTTATTCGTTTCCATGTGTTAAAGAAAACAATATTCTAACCTTTGTGAAAGCCGAGAAGGTGTACTTTATCCAGAGGGACTACTGCAATAGGGTTTGAAGCGGGTGATGGAGATTGGGTTCAATGCCAAATCAACAAAGAAAAGTGAGACCATATAGCCAAGGAGCAGGGTGGGGCCTCAGTGGATGGAAAATTACCGAGAAGGTAGAGTGTAAACTGACCTAAGAGAATTCTTACTGAAGGCAGGCCAGGCTGAGCAGATATTACCTGGGGATGGTGAGTGATGAGGAATTTAGTCAGATAGAGAGGGTGATTAGATATCAAGAGTGGGGGATTCTGGCTTAACTGACTTTAGCAGGATTCTTGCTAAATCTGGACTCTACAAAGGCGGAGACGGAAACCCAAGGTCAAGCCTTGTTGACCTGAGGGCTCAGAGGAGCCTGGCTAATATCTGGTCAAGGAGAGGGTCTTTGTTGTATGTTTCCCTCCACCCTGTACCATTCATCTCCTAACCATGGTGTTGGGAGAGAGAGAAAGGGATCGAGTGATGTATTGATGGACATTTTAAAAGGACATATCAGGGAGATACAAGAGAGAGTTTATAATTTATTGGAGACTACCATGAACGCTATGCCAATATATTTTAAAGCTGAGATTAAGTGGACAATTATCTAGATAAATGTAAACTAAAACTGGCTCAAAAAAAAAAAATGGATGAAGTGAATTGAGCAATCACCACTAAAGAAGTTAAAGTGACAGCCAGTATTATCCTTCTGCCAGGCCCTGGTGTCTTTTGGGGAGAGTTCTAACAAATCTTCAAGTTAAAGACAATCCTCAACCAACTCTCTCAGAGAATTGAATGTTTAAAAAGAGAACATTTCCTAACTCATTTTAGGAGGCTAGTGTAGTTGATATCAAAACCAGACAAGGAAATGATGGACCAGTTTTACTTACTAAAATACATACAAAATCAAATTAAATATTAGGGAACCGAATCCAGAATTAATAATGACAGACAAGTAAACAAAAAGTTATCATGACAAAGTAGAGTTTATACCAGGAATACAAGTAAGTTTCAATATCAGAATAATTCTCCACGTAGCTCAATAGATTTAGCACAACCCATTAAATTCAACCCTATTTTGTGAACAAAAATCCTGTGAATCTCCTAAAAACTGGAAAGGGAAACACACACCTCCTTGAAGAACTGTCCGAAGACTAGATTTGCTTGTGGAATTAACGCACTCAGAACAGGGCCGGCACCCACTAAACACTAAACAGCTGTGCACCTACCCCGATGCCACTTTTCCCTCACAGGTCCCGTCCCTGTCTTTCCCCTGATGTGAAGGTCGGTTTTCTCAGTTGTACCTTCTGGATCATTCAATTACTCTTTCAGCAATTACATTCCAGTTATTCAGCAACTACACTGAACTTGGTTGGCTTATGTTCTTAATTTCTGGGAACTCTCTCTCATTCTGATGTACCTCTCCATGGAGGTTCACGGAGCAATCTTCCTGAATCCCTAAAAAGTCATAAGGATGTCTGAGTCTTCTAAATTTTTAAATGAACTTTCCCCAGTTATGCGTCCATTTATTCTTCATCTGTTTGTTAGAGAGGATGAGAGCCTCTATGTCTGTGAGGTTCTTACCAAATGCTGTTATTGCTAAATATTAAAATGTAGCCCAGTATTTTGCAGAGGTATCTGTAACCTCATGAGCTTAGCCCTGAATTCAACCTGGTAAGTGTAGCCAACCACCAAGAAGACATCAACATATAATTAACCTGATAGTGTGTGTAAGCGATGGCTAAGTCTTTCTTCCAGGAGACAGAACTTTGGATGTGAAGCCCATCTCCTCTACTTGCATTAAATAAATAAAACTAAGGACAACCACATCTCTTTTTTGAATAGAACTCCAAAGGCGGCAAAAGCTTTGAGTTCCATAACGCATTTGCTCCACATCCTGCCTACACTCGATGTCCTCACAATGTATGCCTTGGTCACCTGGCCTTCCTCATTGCCCCCTTTTCCTGTTTTGTTACAAATCATTCTCAAATGTGTTATGCTTCTTGGTTGTAAAGTCCATATTCATTAAGGACTCACTTGATCATCAAGGGCATATGGTGAAGGCCTGCTCTGTGCTTCTTTGTCTATACTGGAGGGTTTTTTTTCTTCTTAAAAAAGAGGGCGGATGCACAAAACTTAACACTTTTTTTTGTTTTCATATTTCATATTGAATATATTTAAAATGATTATTTATAACATCTATGCAAGGCATAGAGAACAATAGTGTTTTAAAAAATCCACTACGTGTCTTCACTCAGTCTCAGGAAGCCAGTTCCTCATGGCCTGTGTGCTCCAACCCGCCCCAGCTCCCCAGCTCACTCGCCCCCAGCAGCATATGCAAAAGAGTCTCCTCCCATGGCTGCATTATTTTTCAACCACGCTGTATCTTAAAAAACCTATATTTCATTTTGAGTCCTTTGGAACTCTATACAATAAAATTACACTGAATTTTCTGCTACTTGCTTTGTTCAGTCAAAATGACCTTCCCAAGATCCACTCATGTAGACATGCGTGGCTGGCTATGGCCTTTGCATTTTCGTTGCTATGTATTATCCCATTGTGTTAATTAACCACATTTTATTTCTCTCAGATTGGTTGCTGGTGAACTTTTAGGATGCTTTTTGATTTTGTTCTCGGGCTACACAAACACTGCCTCTAGGACAACCCTCTTTGTATGTGTCTGCTGTTGCACACACACCTTCCTGGGCTGCGACATCTTCACTTTTATTGAAGTTCACTTTTATTTTATTGCTTGTTGCTGTGTTAGGGGTCCTTTATATACTCGGGGTATAATTCTTTGTCAGCTGTATGTGTTGTGCATTGCTTTCCCAGTTTGTGGCTTGCCTTTTTCCTTTTTTTATACTGTCCTTTCATAAATAGATATTAATTTTAGTATAGAATTTATATTTTGTGCCTTTACATTTTGTGCTTTTTCTACCTAATTTAGAATACTTCCCCAAGGCCGTGTATATGCATGTGTGTGTGTGACCAATTTTTCCAGTATCATTTATGAAAAGTGCTTCCTTCCCTCAACTTATTTGTAATGCCACTTCCGTTAGAAAGTTTCCACGTATGTGGGGGTAATTCTTGATTTTATAGTTTCCCAGTGTCCCAATAGAACATTGCCTTAAACAGTGCAGCGATTACACATCGTGACAACTAGTAGGGCAGTTGCCACCTTGCGGACTCTCCTTCAGGGCCATTTGTTATACTGTTTAATTTCAGAACTGGCTTCTCAGGTTAAAATAAAAGAATGAGCATTTGATCTGGACCCTCATATTTCTAAAGATAATTTGAGGAGAATGGATATTTCCATCGTACTCAGTCTTCCTATTTAATGAACGTAGTCTCTCTCTCTCTCTCCATCTATTTAGTTATCTATCATCTGTTAGTTGTCTTTCAGCTAAGTTTCATGTTTTTCTATATAAAGGGATTGCACATAAAGTTGTTTATTCTCAGATCAATATTACAAATATTATCTTTAAAAAGCACATTTATGATTATAAAGCAAGCAGTGTCATTGAGTATCATTACAAATTGTACATGTAGCAATCTTGGTAAATTATAGTATCAACCTTGTTAATTTATCAGTTTCTTTTGAGTTTTCCATAAAGCAATAATACCATCATTACATTATGATGTTTTTTTCTTTTTTGGTTCTCAGACATTTTATTTTATCATTTTGTCATGCTGCATGGCACGTACCCCCGATATCCAGTTTAACGTGGTGATGGCGGCCACCTTGCCTCGTTCTCAGATCTTAAAGAGTACATTTGCAGTAGCATTTTGTAGACACCTTGTATGAGATTAGGAAAGCTTTTTTAAATTTCTGGTTTGCTGAGTTTTTAACATAAACTGAGGCTGAATTTTTAGGTGGAGTTTTTTTGAAAGCGTCTTCTGAAAATTTTACATAGTTTTCCTCTTTTAAACCATTAATGCTATGAATTAAACTGATTTTTCTACTGTTAAACTAAGTGTATTCTTGAAATAAAACCACATTTTGTACACATTATCTTTTTCATTCATTGCCGGAGTGTGGTTATATATATATAGACATATATCCTGTGGGACATTTGTATGTGCTGATACTAGCCTGTCGTTTTCCTTTCTGAGTTTGTTCTGGTTTGGAGGTCAAATTTAGACTGGCATCACAATAATTGCTGGGAGAGTGTTCTCTTTTCTATATGCTGTAAGAGTATGTGTAAAATTAGAATTAATTGTTACTTCGATGTTTAGGAAACTCCCTGTCAAATTATCTAGATTTTGTGTATTCTTTATCGGAAGGATCAAAAACACTAACTCAGTTTCTTTATTGGTGAAGAGGATCACTCATGCTTATTTTCTCCTTGACTCAGTTCCGGATTCATTTTATTTTTCTAGGTATTCATTCCTAACTTTTGAAATTATTTGCAATAAGGATATTCGTGATATCCTTCTGCTGTCTAATGTCTGCCATTGTTTCCTTTTTTTTCACCCTTAATATTGCTTATTGTGCCTGCTCTCATTTTTCTTAATAATCTGGCCAGAAGTTTGCTTTTTAAAGAACCATCTCTGGAATTTGCTGATTCTGATACATATTAACTAGCCAGATTTCAATGACAAGGGTAGGCTTCCTACAGACTCCCGGATGTACCTTTTCATCTGTTGATTCTGAAGGGAGGAGCTTGACCAGGCAGCCTGGAGGGGCCTCATGTGGAGTGAAGTGAGGAGAGAGGCTTCTCCTTCTCTCTGAGGGGAAAAGGATCCCCTAGTGAGAGAAGAGAAGCTTGGGATCAGTCAGCAGTGCAGTAAGCAGGGCAGGTTGCATTATTTCTTTTTTACTTCCGAATAAACCATTTTTGTGGCCGTTGAGGACAGGGAGGCTGAGGTTGGTCTCTTTGGTTCCTGGGCACTGAAGTTCAGGGAACATTATGTAACTTCATCGATCTGAAAGGCATGAGCAGCGGTCAGTTAAGTCAGTGTCATAGGTCAGGCTTTCACCTTGTCTGGCGTGATTCAGCACTACTTGCTTTCACCACTTTGAAACTTTTAGCTTTGGAGAGGGCTTTTATTACCCATTATCTCTGCTTGCTGACATCCCGTTAATGATCATTAGAAGAGGTAGATTATGATATTCATACAACGGAATATGATGATACAACAATGAGAACGAACAACTACAAATGCATACCACAAAATGGATGAATCTCACAAAAACGATTTGAATGAAAGAAGCCAGACACATTCAAGGATATGCTGTGTTTTTCCTCTTATATACAAAGATATATTATGTAAGAGCATAAATAGGAAAAACTAATTTAGTGCATTGGAATTCAGAATAATGGTTAGTTACTTTTTGGAGGAAAGTAACTGGAGGGTTTCTCTGAGGGTGATGGCGGCATGTTTTGTTTCTTGATTTCAGTGCTGTTTAACTGGCTACGTTCGACGTGTGAAAATTTATATCATTACAATATACTTATGATTTAAGCACTTTTCAGTATACGAGTGTGCTCCATTGACAAATTAAGATGAGAGAAATTGGGTAAAATTATTATAAAGTAAAGGAGTCAAGACCTCGGACCCATTGGAATGGACATTATCCTTTGGCAGTAAGAGCAGGGCCAGGCTGAAGGTAGAGGAGGGAGGATGACCCAGTGCCTTCCTCATGCTGGGCATGGTGCTGGTGCTTTGCATTTGTGATCTCGTTTAATTCCGTCAGTCTTTCTCGAAGTGGGCAGCATGCCCATTTTACAGATGACAAAGCCGAGGATCGAAGAAGTTAAGTTACTTGCCCAAGGTCACAGAGCTACTAAGAGTCACAGGCAGGATTCATCCCAGGACAGGGAAAACTACAGAGCCCATGGGACTAGTTAACCAAATAGTTAACTGGGACCCAAACTTGATCTCACATTTGTGTCTTCAAGAGTAACCCATTCTACACGGAGCTATTTACATGACAAAGTGAGCCAAGAAACAGGCTACCCTTACCTGGTTAGGCGAGTTGTCAGAGTGACCCTGTTTTGAGGAAGAGAAAGAAGAGTTAGTGGTCCATGAAAATGCAGAGCTGAGATATGGCTTTAGAGGGTGGTCCTGTGCTGCTGTGATCTGGAGCCGAAGCAGGTGGCAGGTAGTGGGAGGGTGGGGCGAGGAGGTGGCCCATGATCACTTAAGGAATTCGCTTCCCTCAGAGAGGGGACAGGAGTAGAACCACAGAGGGCCCAATTGACTTCTGAAGACTTTTTCCAGTTCACAGTGCCTTGATTTTTGCCCAGATGTGTTTCTCAGCAACAGGCGCCAGTGGCAAGGAGTGGCAACAAGGCCCGCAGCACCCAGAGCACCACAAGACAGGGAGAGCACCCACGCCCGTCACAGAGGCAGGAGGGGCAGGGGGAAGGGTGAGGAGTGGCTCCCGGAAACATGGCCCTCTTACCCAGGCCTGCCATCTTACTTGGCCTAGGCTGAGCGAGTCTCCCCCAGGGCTGTGTCTCAGGGGAAACTTTTGTGGCTAGAAGGGTGTGAGGACTTAAGGTTGGGAAACAGAGATCCCAGAGGGGCGGGACTATTTGGGAATCCAGGATTCCCCACTGGGGCAGGGCACATGGTAGAATACATCAGCTCACTGGGTGATGGCTTTACTTACTTTAGTTGGAGGCTGAGGGTTTGTGCTCTGTGTGATCGCGCTGGTCACTTGCCCTAAATAAATATCAGACATTGTGACTGCTATTCCCAAGCACAGGTTCTTTGCCCCTTGAGTGAGGAAGGACACTGTCCCAGATAATTCCGTGGGGCTCCTCAGCGTTCGTTTACACCAGGTCGGCCCTGCCTTTCCTCTCAGCGCCTCCTCTCCAGTGTGCCCGCCATCCCTCCTAGTGCGCACGCCTGTCCTGCTGCTGATGTTCACGCTTAAGCTCTCTCTTTAACTGCTCTGAGCCTACTTCTGCCCTGACACCCTTCCCTTTCGTGCATAGATGCTGTTTTTCTCACTTTGTTTATTGCCCAAGAAGCCTCTGATTTCTACTTTTTCTTGGATTCTCTTCCTCTCTTATCTCTCCCTCCTCCTCCTCCTCTGGTTGACAGAGCTCACACCTTATTTTTCTCTTGCTCTTCCTTTCATCTCATTTGTTTTCCTTCTTGGACCTTGGTTTCCCTGAATGGGAGACCGAGGAACATAATTGGATCTGTCTCCTCTAAACCAGATGGGGATGGGAATAACCAAGTCCAAGAGAGAGTTGGGTACAGGAAGCTTGAAGACCAAGGAAGGAGCGGCCACAGGAATTAGTGCCGAGAAGCAGGAGTTTAGGAACGAGGAGGAGCAGATCCAGGCCCAGAGACAGAGGGAAATCTCCCCTCTCCCAAGCATGGCGCTTAGCCTTGCAGGAAGCTGCACAGGAGGAAAGGCCATCATACCCTCCAGTCTTTCTGCTGTACAGAAAGTACGCCAGGGCTGCTATCAGAGCCACCCCGACCAGGACTCCAATCACGATGCCGACGATAGCCCCGTCTGAGAGGCCAACACTCTCTGCTGTTGAGTCATCTGTCGTGGATAGAAAAGGGAAGAATAAATGAAGGTGATGTTATTTTTACAGTGGGGGTGGCCTGGGGAACAACTCTCAACATCGAGTGGTCTCTACTCGTTCCTCCAAGGTGTACATTTTCTGTGGGATGGCTGCTGTGAGGCGATTATATCCATGTCTTTTTTTTTCTCGCAGTGTATTTCTAGGTTGGTGGTCAGACCTGCCTCGATTCCACCCTGGCCTTTCTGCACCGTGTCATGGTTGCATCTTTTTCTGTGTACCAGGTGTGGCAGCCATGAATCTGTGCCTCTCGGGTCTTTCTCCCTTGTGCTGGGGACTTAAATGACGTTCAGAATGCACCACCTCCTCTGCACAGAGACCACGCTTCCCATAGGCTCCATCTAGGACATGAAATCATCTTAATTCTGTGAGAAATGGTTTTCCTCTGATGGGTGATGGATACCAGCTTTTGCCACTTCTATTCAAGCTCAAGGAGCCCCCGTCAGCCTTGCTGATGCTGCATTGCAACCTAAAACTTCCTTCTCCTTCTCCTTCGCAGCTATCAGATTGCATTGTGGTCTGAGGACTCTCCCAGGCTCTTCCCACTCCCATCCCACTTTCCTTCCCAGGCAATTTTCCTGATAAATATCTTGTATGTCTCATCCCATCTTGGCTGCATCTCAGGGGATGAAAACTAACAAACCAGGCTTGAAACTTTTGCACTCAACTCCTTTTTATCTTTTCCCATATTTAGTCAGTAACCACGTCCCAATGATTTTTGTGTGTAATGCCCCCCACCCAATTATAATACATTTTGCATCTGTTTTTTCTTTTTTATTTTCACTGCTCTCATTCAACTCAAAGTTAATGATTAATGTCAGCTACTGTTATGGGGCACTTACTATGATGTCAGCCTCTGTGCTAAATACTTTACATGCGCCTCATTTGATTCATGTAATAACCCTGTCAGGTAGACATTATTTCCACTTTAGGATGAAAAAGCTGAGGCTTAGAGCAGTGAAAAATTTACCCAAAGTCATATGACTTGTAAGAAGTGGATCTGGGATTTGACTCTAGAACCATCTATCTTCACAGCGGCTATTAATAGTGGTAATAATAGCAGCTAACACTCACGGACCATTTCCTGTGTGTGTGGCATTTTGATAAGGGTTTAACTGATTATTACATTAAATATATAAAACTACACCATGAAGCAGGTACGCTTATTTCAATTTTCAGTTGAGGAACATGATGTGTTAAGACTCTTGTGCAAGGAATTTGTCATTGTAAATGCTTACATGAAAAAGGAAGATCTCAAATCAGCAACCTAACTTTACAACATAAGGAACTAAAAAAAAAAAAAAAAAGAAGAAGAAGAACAAATTAAACCCAGAGCTAGAAGAAGAAAGGAAATAATAAAGATAAGAGTGAAAATAAATAAAATAGAGAATATAAAAACAACAGAGAAAACCAATGAAACCAAAAGTTGGTTTTTCAGAAAAAAATAACAAAATTGACAAACTTTTAGCTAGACTGACTAAGAAAAAAAGAAGATTCAAATGACTAAAATCAGAAAAGAAAATGAGGAAATTATTCTCAATTATACAAAAATAATAATGAGTTATAAGAATAGTATGAATAAATGTACGCCAAAAAATTGGATAACCTAAATGAAATGGACAAATTCCTAGAAATACAAAACCTACCAAGATGGAATCACAAAGAAACAGAAAATATGAATAGACCTATAACTAGTAAGGAGGATGAATCAGTAAAAGCATTCAACAAAATACATCATCCTTCCAATGATAAAAACACTCAAACTAGGAAAAGAAGGAAACTATCTCAATAAAATAAGGGCCATATATGAAAAATCCACAGTTAACATCATTCTTAATGGTGAGAGACTGCAAGTTTTCCCTCTAAGATCAGGAACAAGACAAAGATGCCTGCTTTTGCCACTTCTATTCAAGATATTATTGGAAGTCCTTGTCAGAGCAATTCGGCAAGAAAAAGAAATAAAAGGCATCCAAATTGCAAAGAAGTAAAATGATCTTTGTTCACAGATGACATGAAGTCACATGTAGAAAACACTAAAGTTCCCACAAATCAACCATTGGAAGTAGTAAACAAATTCAGCAAGGTTGCAGGATACTAAATCAACATGCAAAAATCAGTGAACAATCTGAAAAGGAAATTAAGAAAACAATTTCATTTGCAACAACAACAAAAAGAATACAATACTTAACCAAGGAGACTTGTACAGTGGAAAACTATGAAAGATCGCTGAAAGAAATCAAAGACATAAATAAATGGAAAGACATCCTGTGTTCATGCACTGGGAGGTTCGATGCTGTCAAGATGACAGTACTACTCAAAGTTATCTACAGATTCAATTTCTATCAATTCCCAATGACTTTTTTTTTGCAGAAATAGAAATATCCAACCTAAAATTCAAGTGAAATTTCAAGGTACTCCAAATATCCTGATTTTTGACAGGGTGCCAAGAGCATTTGATAGGGGAAAAAGGCAACCTTTTCAACAAATGGTGTTGGGAAAACTGGATGTCCATGCAAAAGAATGAAGTTGAACCCTTACTGAACACCGTATACAAAAAGTTAACTCAAAATGGATCAAAGACTTTAATATAAGAGCTAAAACTATAAAAGCTCTTAGCCGAAAACATATGGCGAATTTTTCATGACGTTGGATTTGGCAGTGACTTCTTGGATATGAAACCCAAACCACAAGCAATAAAAGAAAAAAATAGATAAGTTGGACTTCACAAAAATAAAAAACTTTTGTGCAGCAAAGGACACTATCAGCAGAATGAAAAGATAACCCACAAAGTGGGAGAAACATCTAGAAATCATATGTCTGATAAGGGATTAATATCCAGAACATATAAAGAATTACAATTCAACAATAAAAAACCCAGTCAAAAAATAGGCATAGGTCTTGAACAGATATTTCCCCAAAGATGATAGGTAAATGGCCAATAGGCCCATGAAAAGATACTCAACATTGCTAATCAATAGGGAAATGCAAATCAAAAACACAATGGAATACCACCGCACACCCATTGGGATGGCAATCACATGTTTAGAAAACCCCTAAACAACAAGTATTGCCAAGGTTGTGGAGAAATTGGAACTTCTGTGCACTGCTGGAAGGAATGGAAAATGGTGTAGACACTGGAAAACAGTCTTTCGGTTCATCAAAAAATTGAACAAAGAATTACCATTTGATCCAGCAATTCCATTTCTGGGTATATATACCCAAAAGAATTGAAAGTAGGGATTAAACAGATATTTGTACACCCATGTACATAGTGGCATAATTCACAATATCCAAAAGGTAGAAACAGCTCAGAAGTTCATGGCTGGATGAATGGAAATCAAAATGTGATATATACATACCAGAGAATGTTATTCAGCCTCAATAAAGAATGAAATTATGATATATGCTACAACAAGGATGAACTTTGAAGACATCATGCTAAATGGAATAAGCCAGACACCAAGGGACAGATATTGCACGATTCCACTTATACAACTAGAACAGTCAGATTCATAGAGAGAGGAAGTAGAACGGTGGTTACCAGGGGTTGAGGTGGGGAGTGGGGAGTTATGTTTCATGGGTTTTTTTCACAGAGATTTAGTACGGTGGGATGAAAAAGTTCTGAAAAGGCAGAGTGGTGATGGTTGTGCAAGTATTAATGTGATTATACTAGTGCCACTGAACTGTACACTTAAAAGTGGTAAATATTTTATATATTTTACCACATATAAACGGTAACAATAAAAATGGGGTGAGGGGTCACTTATATGGCACATGCAGCCCGAGGGGGTCACTTTCCTAGAGCTTTTGTGACCTTCCACATGATCGGACCCCTCTCTAGTATGGTAGCTTTACACAGAGAAGGGAAGGCATTTCCTTTTTGTTAAATAATTATTAGAGAATGAGAACTGTCCAGCCATGACCTTAGGACCTGGAGAAGTTCCCATCTAAAGGATTTCTCAATCTGATAGGACTTTCTCTCCTGGCCTGTGGACTGACTATCACAGAGAGAGAAATCTCCAGTGTAAAGTAGTCACAGTTTCAAAAGGCTGGTACTCTTAGTCTTCTCTGTAAACTATGAACTTTTTGGCACTGCGCCTGTCCCATGAAGGGACTTCATAGATGAATCTGTGTATTTTTCAAGTATGTACCACTATTCGCTGTTCTCCTTTGGTATATCATATAAACTGGTGTCACATAGTGTTATATAGATGGTGACTTCAGAGCCAGGACACAGCTAAGAGGAGCCTGCCCCATGGCTCACTCTTTTCCCATTTCCACGCAGCCTGGCTTGAAGGAGGCTCTGGTGTCAACTGGTGTTATAATTTTGCCAACTGAGGACAGGCCACCCATGCAGCTCCTACACAGGCTCCTGATCTACCACAGATGGCATCAGAGCAGAGTCAGTCACCAGGTGAGCCCAGAGCACAGCGGAGCGCAGAGGACTATCTTGCTCACTCCTCCTTGGAGATGGTTTTGTACTTTTGGGAAAAAAAAGAGGTGAACTTGATTCAAAGCCCTGTCTTTTCCTTGTAGCACATGGAGTAGGTAACAGGAAAGAGGTGACAGAGGAATGTGTTAGTGATAGAAGAAGAAACTTGACCTTGAGGACCCATG